TTTGTAAATGTATCGATTGAGGTTATTTATTTTATTTTTAGAACGATAAACAGAGAAAACGGACCCATTTTAATTCGGGTTTTATTTGATTTACATACATATAAGGGCTGGTCCATATAGTGGTTTCTTAGAACAATTCAAAGATATCAAAAAAAATAATTAATTAATTTTTACGGTATATTATTGGTTTATTAGAAAGACAAAACATTCCCACCATTAATAGAACAAGATTTAAGGGCCTGAATGGTAAACGGATTGTTCGCACCGCCACTCTCTGAGGATACTTTGGCTTCTGAAAGATTACGTGCGGGTTCTCCGATCCTCAGATGCGGCCTCGTCAGAAATGATAATTTTTTTAGCTAAACCGTTATCCAATACGTTTGCATAATTACCCAATGTTAGTCAAGCGTAAAGGGATTCATTTCGTTCCGCGGAGATATAATACTGACTTTCTGTCAAGATTTCTAGTCAAATTAGCATATAAAAAAAAAACACCCTGTACATATGTATCAAACCGATCATTTCCTATACCGAAAACTTATCCTTATTTTGATCAGTCGGCTCACAGGCAGTACTAAAGTAATCGATCTCAAAATTAATGAATTTAAAGGCATAATTTAAACTTCTGCACTCTGTGTGTTACAATCAATTCCTCTCCATAACTCAAACTATTAACAACTAATTAGAGTGAAAATAATTAAAAAATAAAACTTATTTTCTCTGATAACGCTTTGCGCCAATAGCAGATGTTGCAAAATTAAATCAAATTAAAAAAAAAAAACCATTAAGTTTTAAATATATTTTTATGGGTAAATGAACAAATTGGAGGCTGGTCTTAAATAGAACAGATGCTGGAAACACTTACGCAAAACTCAAAATAAATTAAGCAGAAATATATAATTGTAGCGCAAAATGTTTATACACCTTTTCAAGAAGCAACGAACAATTAATGAATTACGATATTTGTAAATAAAGTACACATACAACTCATATGGTTAGTTTATGACTTTGCTGGATAATCGCTTATACAATTTTATTAAAAGTATATGTTTATGTTTATTCTACATACAAATATAAAGTTATTACCAATTGCCATGATCTGGTTTCTAGGACGTAAATTAAATAAATGAAAAATTAATTG